AACCATGCAAAACAAACCACATCAGTATTAATATGTGTGTGGTTATGAAGTTTACATCACATAATATAGACCATCTGTAATGTACTCTCATACCGAGTTTTGCAACAGCTGAAACATGCACGAGAACCCTCCTTTAATTTAATGAACACCATAAAGCTCTGGCACTGTTATTTCTGAGGCCTGGACGTTTGTGTGTGATTCATTCATGTGCACAAGCCTATAAGATTTGGCTCCCTGACTTACATCGGCAACTAACGTTATAGCCTGAAAGCAATGCGTCTTCTCAAGAATGCTTTCGGGAACCTGTTTCTCCAGCAGTGGAAATTTCCAGTTAGGTGGGTGGGGGGAGAAACGTGCAATTTTCTCTTCATGAGCTGACATGGAAGCACACAAAATGGCCAAAGCCTTTTACAGAAAATTTTATACCTGGCACAAAACGGGGTGCGACTGATTTTCAAAAATGACAAATTCTGCAAGACATTTTCGGAAACCGTGTCAGTGTAGGGGTTTCAGTTTGATGAATCACTGGACAAGGAGACAAAGTATGTTGCCTTAGCATCAGCACTGTAAAATGCCTTGTCTTTTACGAGCTCATGTAAACTTACAGAGCTGAATAAGCCAGTACTTTAGGCGTGGGTATGGGGCATGTCAGGTTTTATGGCCCAACAGGGAATGCTTGAAGTAAAGCAGCTTCCACAATTTAATACTGTTGGATGGAAGGTGGGGGAGGGGTTAACTGAGTTGGGGTTGATTGAGGTGGGGAGGACAAGGGATAAGAAGATGATTGTAGGGGGAGGGGTAGAGGTAAGAGGGTGTGCAGAACCATTCCTTAAATTAAGCTGTGGGAGCTTGGCGTTGCATCATGTAGGGGCAGTGTCCGGGAGGGTGAAGGGAGAAGGGTGGGGAAGTTGGGGAAGGGGGGATAAGGTCGGAGTGGAGAATAGGGAATGAGTGAAGGAAACATATACCCCAAGCCTGATGGCTCTTTCTTTTGTTTTATTAAAAGAACACAATAGCTCCGTTTTTGTGTAATAGTACTTACAGGATTTAGTAATTACGCCTACGTTATTTGTGAGAAAGGCTCTTATCCTTCATAAGTCATTACTAAACTTTTAGTTTAATGTTATCAGTGTGAATTATGGAGTGCTATATTGTCGATATGTATAGTACTGTATATTGTTTCAGTGTTTTGCAAACGAATGCGGTTCGATGATTAAGTTACACTTAGCTTTAATGTATTTGAAGGCTGTTTCTGCTTGAAAAATAAGTATTTGGTCGATGTTCATTTGTAACTTTTCCATGGAAGTATGTATTGTTCATTGTATTATCCAAGCCAGCAATAGTTAACCGTTTTACCTAATGTTGCCTGGTTTGGGGAAATCACCAAAAGTAAACTGTGTGCAAAGAATAATGGCTGTAAATGGAACAGTAAAGAACACTGGCAATAAAAGAACGGTGATCTATGCGTTTAGTAAAAAAAAACACCCAAAGCCGTAAAGCATTTTTATAGGGCTGAGAAGAAATCCAGTTCTGTCGCATTCACATTGCCAATTAGGAATTGTTTAACCCTGGAGGCCCACTAATGGTTACAAAGGCTGATTAGTTTCATTGTGTACAATTGAATCTAATCCTTCAGCTTAGCCAACCAGGGGTGTGTGTGTGTGTGGGTCACACAGCTCCACTGCTTTCCAGTTGTCCGGCCACAGCTGTGTCCACAAAGGCCTCGTGCTTAAGGGTGGGTGGTGATGGGTGGCTTGGGATGGGTGGGTGGGCCCTCTTTTGCCGGAGGCGTGACCACTCGCCTCTCTCTCTCTCTCCCGTGGCCTTTGCTCCCGAGGTGATGTCACATCGCAGCTCGTGGATTGGCCGCAAGTTCCCCCCCAAAGGGGGCGTGTATATGGTAACGAGGTGGAGGGGGGTGGTGTGGGGGGGAGGAGGCGTCAACTTTCCGACGCTCAAATAGCATCGCGACTCAGTCCCTACCCCTAGCAGAGCCGCACTCCACAACTCGTGCGTTCGTGAGTGGCTTGCTGCTGCCGCTGCTGTGTGTTGGCTGGCAATAATAAAGTTGACATTTTTTGTTAGTATTTAGTCAGGCAAGTGGGTTGTTTTTGTTGTTGTTCCTTGTTCGTAGTTATGAAAGGGCTGCTGTGCATGTGAAGGCACCGCTGTCGTTGAATGGGATTTTTTTCTGGTTGAAATAATTTCACTGTCAGGTGTATAAAGTTTTTTTATTTTGTGCCGTCGTGGTTGGGCAACTTTTTGAACGGTGAAATCTTCTCGGCAATAAAAGGGAGGTCGAGCGTGGTTTTTGCGATTCATGTGACGAGGAAAGAAGGGAGGGAACGCGCTCACAAGTTCCCATAAAGACTTACAACAACAACCCAGGCTTGCCTTGAAGCTTGGTAATGACTTTAGAAACGAAAACTTCCGCAGACTCCGTTTCTCCCACGAAACTCTCCAAGCCCGGATCTATGGGCTCCTTGTCCTCTCCTTCCAAGACACCCGCTTGGCAAACAGACATCCCGAACGTGGCGCTTTGCCCGTACGATTGCAGGGCATGTGAATCTAGCAAGAAGCAGCAGCTCAGGCTGGTAGGTAACCTACCATCACCATCATCACCATCACCATCACCACCATCATCACCACCATCATCATCACCATCATCATCATCACCATCATCATCACCATCATCATCACCACCATCATCATCACCACCATCATCATCACCACCATCATCATCACCATCATCACCACCACCATCATCATCACCATCATCACCACCACCATCACCATCATCACCACCACCATCACCATCATCACCACCACCATCATCACCATCACCACCATCATCACCATCACCACCATCATCACCATCACCACCACCATCATCACCATCACCACCATCATCACCATCACCACCATCATCACCATCACCACCACCATCACCACCACCATCACCACCACCATCATCACCACCACCATCATCATCACCATCATCATCACCATCACCACCATCATCATCATCACCATCATCACCATCACCACCTCTAAGATGCCTTTATTCTATTTGGCTTCGCTTCATTTGCTCAAGTTATTGCGGCGCGCGTTTAATTATTTACATGTTCACTTTGCACAATAGTGATGTCTGCAGGTGCCGTGAACATATGTATATGCAGTAGATCTCTCGCTTTGCTTGGTGTACGTACTGTCGATTTGTATTGATCCGGATCCGTTTGATCCCCGCGTGTGTGTGTGGGGTGGGAGTCAAGGACTTTGAGGTTGGGGACGCCGTTGAGAAGGTGTTGAAATGCATCTGGTTATAATATAATGGATGTTGTGTGTCTTTGTATATCGATATGCGGGCCTTCTTGCAAACGAGTACGTAAGCTGCTATCACATTTTGCGAAATGCATTTGGTGGTTGAGCTTTTACTTGAAAGGCAGTCGTTTTTTTAAAATACAGCTGTGGGCATTGAGTAAAATGCATCGTGGCTCTTTGAAGGGACGTACAGACGAGAGAGTTGTAATGCGGCATTTTTTTAAACCATATTTGAGTAAAAATATTACAGCCCTTCATAATTTTAGGGTTTTAAGCATACAGTGGGTTTTTTTGGGGGGGTGGGGGGGGCATTGTTTTAAACCAACAATAGCTTTGCCATATTCGTGTGTGCGGTTCAGTAAACGCATGGAGCACACTGCCCACTGCATTTTAGTTTATCGTCTTCAATACTTTGACAGGACCTTGTCATTCGAATGAGTTGCTGAGTGACAGCCAAGTGAACGATCCTTCGAGAACCTTCGCCGCGGAGATGACTCGGCTGGGAAGCGGATTGATTGTAAAGTTAACGTCGCAGGACTCAGACTCGTGGTGTTGATATCTTGGGAAGGCTTTTAACAAGTGGATTAACACGTGTTTTATAGTAAGAAACACATACGGTACCCACGGTATTTTGTTTTTTCTTTTACCCCATTCTGACACCGATTGTGATGTTGGCGTCTTGAGACGAGGGAATATTCAACATCGGGAGGGTTTAATTGCAGGCAGCTGTCTGCGATTTTAACTTGGGGCTCTCCTATGTGGTGTCTGCTCGGTGCTCTAACCACTTAGCCGCCTGGTAATTGTAAATATTTATCTCCCCCTTTCATTGAACCTTACAGCATCTGGTAGATTTTCACATTGACGTGTGGACGTGTTTGTGTGCCAGTGTCTTGTAGCATCACGGTCTTGTGAATTGTGTGCTGTGTGACGAGGTGTTCCTTCCTACAGAATACATTGTATTCTTGCCAGCGCATGAGATGTCTTGTGGAATAGTGAATTCCTACACAGGGATGGTGCCGTGGTGTAAATGGATAGTAATCAAGAGGTCCCGCCGGTATTATTCCATTGGCCGGCGCACCAATTGAAGCGATGGGAAAGTTTTCGAAAATCCATCCACCAATATAATTTAGTAGCCCACAGTTAGTCAATTGGCAGGTCACACGTGGTGTGTAGTAAAGCGTTGGTAAGACGTCTGGCACATGTGGAAGAGCCAGTGCCGGATTATCCTAGTACTAAAGTAGCTACATATGCTACGGGGCCGGCGCTAAATGCTTTCAAGCTATCAATTCCGGTTCAGCGATTCTGCACTTGCTCTATTACTCTAGTACTATACCGCCTTCAACTTTTATGAACGACTGGGTGTTTAAGGTTAGCGATTTGTCGTATTATCTGGCTGTATAGCCAATGAAAAAATTCAATTACTTTACTATGCAAGTAAAACAAATTAGGTGTTTTTTTAATATTTGTGTTTTTTTTATTTAGGGCCCCTTTATAACATATGCTACAGGCCCTGCACTAGTTTAATCCGGCACTGAGAAGAGCCCACCAAATTTCTCGAGCGGGGGAGGCCCTTCTGCCCGCAGTTGGTGTAAGCAAGAAAAAATACAACGCTCCACCTTTTTCCTAACTTGCCAAATGGCCCCGTGTGTGTGCGCGCGTGTGCTTTTTATGATTACCAGGTGGTCAAACTGTTCAGCGAGGATGGCACGAGCAGGTCACTGGAGATACCGGCGGGGACGAGTGCGCGTGACGTTTGCCAGTCGCTGATCCTCAAGAACAACTGCGTGGACGACAACAGCTGGGCACTCATAGAGCACCTCCCTCATCTCAGCCTGGGTATGTGCAAAATAATGATCGCTATATTTGTCATTTTGACGTCCTTTGTATACAAAACCCCACTCCTCTCTCCTTTTGCTATTCTTCAGCAATGTCTCTAATTTGGCACAAGTCTGTTCGTTATTATGATAGTCTTGTACCTTTATCTACAAACAGTAAACGACTGCAGGAGAGTGGTGGACTAGATACATTTGTATTTGTTTATAGGCTACAGTGAAATAATAAAGATGGCCTTTCCATTTCATGGTTGACACGTTGAACATTTAGCCTGGCTTTTCCTATAGAATGCATTTTTTTGGCATCACTTCTTCCACAGGATGGCCAGGCAAAGGTTATCTGTCCAATTTATGAGTGCTAGAAAAGTAAGTGTACAGTGAAGAGAAGAAATGTAAGAATGCACAAGAGAAAATAATTCATTCTTTGAAGTTTTTGTAGATGATACTGGTTTTGCTCATTTTGTTTCAACTATTATCATCCACCATACACAATCAACTGCTGGATGAAGGCCTCCCCAATTTAGGTGTTTTATTTTTCAATGCACGTGAATAAGTACATGGTGAAAATGCGTTAGTTTCATTGTCTGACGAGTAATTATTTACTTTGTACTCATGGGTGGTTGTTCTTGACACATTAGAGAGGACGTTGGAAGACCATGAACTTGTGGCGCAAGTTCAATCAACATGGGGCATTGACTGTGACAACAAGCTTTTCTTCAGAAAGAATTACGCAAAATACGAATTCTTCAAGAACCCATTGGTAAGGAAAACTGCCGATGTACTTCAAATAAGTTACAACATCGCAAAGGCATCTGCATTGTATTTTTTCATTATTTGGCAATGCAATTTTTTGTTAAAGCTATGTATATTATTAACATACAATCTTAATGTCTCACATTTAGTGTTTTTATATATTTATAGAATTGTCCTTACAATACGATAACTGCATATGCTTTACAAAATATAGGCATGCCCTGTGAATGTTGTATGCAAGGTAAATTAACAGTGATTTTTTTTTCTTGCAATTTCTGCATTTTCTTCAGCAATTTTTTCCGGAACACATGGTCTCCATGCCGTACGAGTCGAACGGCAGCATCCCACACTCACAGCTGATCCAGGTACTGTCTCTACTATTTTTCATCACGTGGCTTTGCACGTGCTAAATTAGTTGGGTAAGGAGTTGACTGTAATTTTTTATAGCGCAAATGCTGTTGAAGTCATTACAAGGGGTGGGAATACACATGTCAAATTATCGCGTGTCTATTTCACCCTCCTCCCCCACCTCTCCCCCAAGCCCTCAACTCCCTCATGCGTGGTGCAGCTTACGTGACTAACCGCACGCCAGATTTTAATGTGGTGTTTGCTCACATGTAGGAGTGCCAACTTCAGGACATGTGTGTCAATGAAACTCTTAAATCGCATCGTCTTTACAGAAAATTCCAAGTTGTACCGTTTTTGCTCATGAAGGACTAAAGAATGTGATGGATTTTCTTTACAGAACTTCATGAACTCGAGCAGTTGTCCAGAAATCCAGGGCTATCTACATGTGAAGGAGCCTGGTAGAAAATCGTGGAAGAAGCTATACTTCTTTTTGAGAAGATCGGGGCTCTATTTTTCCACCAAAGGCACATCCAGGGTGAGTCTCGTTTTAAAGGTTGTGTACATTTTATGTTTGAAATTGGAAGGTTGTCGGCCCAATTTGTAATATATTTTTTTAAGAGTTGTCTACTTTCTAGACACTGTAAAATCTCAAACTGCTGGCAGGTTTTTAGAACCTTTTGGGGAAATGGCAGAACATAATTAAAGAAACCCACTGCTAAAATCTACCACTTACTCATCAGTGTATATATTTTAGCCTTTTATGTAATCAGATATTAATGTGATATATAAACGGAGATAAAATATATATACTGATTTGTACATTCACAAATTTAGGTGTAACCTGAAAACATTTTTGAGGAAACTGTTTGCAACATTGTCACATTATACCAGGAATGTGTATCTTTGTTGGGTGACCATATTTTACCGGGAAAGAATGGCGGTTTCTGAGAGGGGCCACATTTGAGGCAACTAAAGGCAACGTGCAGTGGTGACTGGAGGGGCAGATGCAATAGAAAGGTGGATTTTATCAGTGCAAGGCTAGAGACTAAATTCAACCTGATGAAGCCTGCAGTTTGAACTGAGAATGGATTGTGGTAATGTTGTTGCAACTGAATTGCTGCGTATACATGTGGGTTTCCTGTACACCTCACAGAATGTGTTTATTGATACATTGCAGCATCAATGGCTGTTGGAGTAAACTGTCTTTTACCAGTATTTAGTTTATATCGACACACAACCCCCATTGTTCCATAGACTTTGAGCTGCAATCCTGGAATGTGTTAGTACAGGATCTAGTTTCATCCCCCTCAGTTCCAGGAATGAAAACCATGGAACAATCAACAAAATAAATGAAATTATTATTTTGACAATTTTAATAAACCCCATTTTTATAGGATAAATGTCCAAATTGTGTAGAGGGAAAAAACGCAATTTTTAAACTAAAATTGCTCCTGAAAATATTTTTGGCAATAGCATGCAATAGTTTAGGGAAAGATTTAGATATTTTATGTGGACGTGCAAATGTTTTTTCCCCAACACATTTTAATATGTACATATAATATAGCAACAACACAGAATTACATCATTAATTTATTTTGTTATTTTTCCAAAGGCATACATGAATTACTTAGGAGGTTATATGGGGCAAATCAAAAGAAATATTGGCAGTGACAGCACAGTTTCTCTAGTGGAACAAAGATGTTCTTGTTAATGACAATGCAAACAATAGGAGAGGAAGTGAGGTAGGGGCCTGGATGAAATTCAATCAGTTCCGTCTTTGTTGCTTTTCTTTCGTCTCTAAAGGAAACCACTTTGTGGGAAAACCCTTTCTTACCCTCAGTTTAGGCTATGCCCTGTTGTGCCCTGTTGTGCCTTGCACAAACAATGAAAATCTGTTTTTGTTAATATATTCATTTATGTAAATTGGGACAAAGGGGGATGACTTTGAAATTGTGCATGCCATATAGGTCATAACAGTAGGATAGTGTTACTGATCTAGTGTCCTCGAATGTGCAAATATGTTCCAAATGTCATGATGCCACTGCCAAAATCTCAGGGCTTGGCCAAACAAATTCAACCACGGGACATGATAGTAAAAAATAAAGGGTATATTTCACAAGACTTTTTTTTACGCAATGTAGCAAAACGTGCGGCGTTAATTTATAAACACTAGCCAGAAATCGATCAGCTTGCACCAATATCTCTTTGTCATTCACTAGCATTTAACCTTATTTAAAGTCAAGTTTAATGTTTTCTAGAAGTTAGATGCACAATAATATTAAATAATGTTAGGTCAAAATTACATGGGTTCTTTTTAAGATAAAGCATTATTTTAGAAATTTGAGGCAAAAATTAAGTATTTAATTGTACACGAATGAAATATAAAAAAAAATTGGTACAACTCGTTTCAAAACTAAATCTCTTTGTTTTATAACTAATCTCGGTACTCATTATGGTGTATAATTAACATAAACACATTTTACATAATTTGAATGGGTTGGGAAAGGGGCGGGTAGGGTGGTGCTACAGCATAAAACCCAATTTGCCTGTCATTTTCTGTAATGGAGGATGGAAGATGTGGCTTCCAGGGTTCACCAAGAGGGCATATGAATGGCATTTAGCATGTGACACAGATTATACACTCACAATGTTTGTTCTGTTGGTAAGGATGCGTAGTGGCTGCAAATAATCAATATTAACAAATCATATTTGCTCTTAATATGAAAATCGGCTTATAAAAAGTAGTAATTTCATACACTGCACCATGAGCAGGTTATGAAAACACTGCATAAGCAAATGTTATGTATTCATTTATAAAGTCTTCTAGAGATTACACAATTTTTTCTAGTTTGCAATAGTGTCGATTACATTTTAGATAATCTGGCTCAATCCGTGTGTTTTTGTAAACGGTGGGAATGGCATGAAATAACGACAATTCGAAGCAAGTGTTTTTTTTTTGCACTTGCTGGACATATTTGGTGTTGGTCATAAAACCGGACCATCGCTGAAGACCTGACAAAAAAATATTCATTGTTATTACTATGACATAGAAACGCACAACTTCAGTTTTTCATTTTGGAGGGAGAATGGAAGAACTGTGTAAACAAATGATACCTAAAACACTGACAAAATAAGCACATTTTTAATCACACTGTATACTTGTAACATTGAATCGGAGTAGATATAGGATGCTTGGTCGGGGGGTGCAAGGGGGAAGTTGGGGATTGAGAACGCGGTGGGGTTATTCATCCTGCAATTCTGAACCCTTGGATTAAGGAAGGGAAGATTATAGACCAAGGATACATGTATTGGAAAAGAAGCATGCATTTTCACACACACCTATAAACTTACACGACTGGAGTGGTAATTGTATTGATTATAATCAATACAATTCCAGTTTGAGCCAGATGTTGGAGCACATCTCGGTTTGGTTGGCAAACATATCTCGTCTGTTTAATGGTACGGTAATCACGTCACCCAACATGGTCTTTTGAGTTAGAGCTATAAGAGGCAGTGCAGGCATTTATTTATTGTGGGGTTAAAGAGGCTATTGCCATTTTTGACGCAGCATTTCGTAACCTCTGATCTTGCAACATATTTACAAAAGCAGAGACGCCCCGTATAGCCGATGATAGACTTGTGGCAAGTGCTGTTATCGAGCTCTTTTTAAGGTCTGCACGGCACGAGTGGGTGGTGTGGGTCCCATAGCATTGTTCGCTAACCACTATGCCACCACTGCCCACACACATCCACACACACACACGTATACACATTTCCGAGGTAACATGGTAGCTCTTCAGAAGGATGAATAACTGAAGGGCAAGCATCACATTACTTTACCTGCACACATGCTATGACTACTTGAATAGGGAATAGAAATAACATTGAAGTTTTATTCCAAGCTTTACTTCCATACCTTTTTTTTATCATTGCAGTCTTTACAGCTCGTGGATTAAATAGGCAGCCAACTATGCAACGATTATTCTTTTTGTCTTGTTGTTTCTGGTGTCTAAACATTATTTAACTGAAGGCATATATTCTGTTTTGTTTATATTTATTTGAGGTGGCTTTTATAAGTAAAAGAGAGGAAGCTGACTGAAGAATATATTTTTAATTTCACAACAATTGTATTGTTAGACAGGTGGTGTGTGTGTGTGACTGGATGCATTGTTTATTCTGTTGTGAATTAACAAACATTGTTTATCATGAATAATGATTTTTTAACAAATAGTTTATTCTTCATTTTTCATCGCTAAACATTTACAAAACCCTCAACAAACATTACATATTTTATGGTATTAAAATAAAAATGTGAAATAAAACATTAAAATGTTGCACTTGTCACATGTTGAATTAGTCTCATGTTTATCTAAAATAGTAAACCAAATTCACCGTGTTCAAACAGACCTTTAAAAATGCGCTTAAAAAAAAATTAGATTCTTAAAAGTAGGTAACTTAAAAAAAAATCGGTGTCCAATTAATTCACTGTGTTGGGGATTGTATGTCGACAGGAACCGCGGCATCTGCAGTGTTATGCAGAGCTAAGTGACAGTGGTGTGTACACTGTTCTATCGGGACGGAAGATGTACGGAGCACCCACAGACTTTGGATTTTGCATAAAAGTAAGTGAACCTTGTCATAGTGGTGGCTTTGCAAGTACTTATTGTGAGGCATGTGTTCAGGGTCAAACAAAGTTGGGGTTTATTACAGAGGAGGGAGTATGCTGTGATGCTTGAATATCCTGTGCCATAAACCTTAAGCATAAATGTACAGTACTGTATATAGATTTTCTGAGACCATGACGTTTGTGTGATGTATTGGTTATGAAAGGACATACTGCATGACCTGTCACTTTCAGTATAAATAAGGCTACTCCTAGTCCTCTGGGATAATTGTATGACCGAGTAGGAATTAAACGACGTTTTAAATCTACCATCAATTATTCTACAAAGGTAGCAATAATGCCATGTAATATATTAGGAATAATTGAAATTTGGATAATAAAATTGCCTGTCACGACGGCATGTGCAGATATTTATGCACGTGCATAAGATCTGTGATTCATACATCAGCATTTTACCCAGAGTGAGTTTTCTGCACACTTTGGCGTAATTAAAGGGCACAATTGTAACAGAAAACCCTATTAATGGATTGGCTTTTGTGCAGTCCAACAGGGCAAGTAGTGCCAAGGAATTGAAACTATTCTGCGCTGAGGAAGAAGCAAGCCGGACCTGCTGGATAACTGCCATGCGGCTCTTCAAGGTGATTTACACGGTGCAGTGTCACTTTGCCCCCACAATTCCTACCTCTGGCTCAATCCTTAAATGGAAGATGTCACCAAAAACACACACACCACCTCTCATCATTTAGGTACGCACCCAGGAAGCATGTATAACCATTCACCGATTCAAAAATTCAAATCGATTCTTACGCTTGTGATAGATGCATATAATCTTGAGTGTGAGTCTAGGTTGTGTATAATGTACGCAAATGACATGCAAATTATATTCCCGCATCACATTTGGGTGAATTGAACAAAAAGATTGTCACAAATGAGGTCTAACAGATGGGAAACAATACAATTGATATGGCAACAACAGGATTGCAAATAAGAAAGTTTCATAAAATTTCTCTGAGGGTGAGTTGCTTCATGCTTATTATCTTGGCTGTGCCTCCTCGGGCTATTTAACATGAGTTTTAAGACAATTTGGCCTTCTCATGAAATATGTCCACTGTACTGGACAGCTAGGAGATATGACTGCTGTCAAGTTATACAACATTTTTCAACATATTTGGGGATTGGGGTGGGGGTGGTTTCTTTGATACCCAAAATGACATTAAACTCAAACCGTTTTTTCATATTTTAAGAATTTTGTGCATTAGGGTTAAGGAGCATGTAACGGTTGCTGCAGTGGCGACATCATAAAATGTACATAATTAAATACTCATGTGTTGCTAATGCACTACAGATGCAGTGATGTTACCAATTTTAGGTCTCTTTTTCCACCAACAAGGCTTCATGCTTGTCGAGACAATCTGGGTTACAGCCTATGCAGATACATAGGCTGTAACCCAGATGAGCTATCATAGTATTTAGGGGCATAGTCTTTAAATATTCTCCACCTTCGCTTTAATCTAAACTGACACATTCGCCCATGTGACTCGGCAGTCAAAATTCTAGGTCAACGCCGGAATGGGCTGGGTATTTTATTGGGATAATTGCCGCTTCCCTGGGCCGCTCTTAATGGATGATGGTGTCTTCATGTTGCCAAATGTGTTAGCCTGTGCTACGTATGTTGAAAGATGTCAGCTGCCGGTATGCATTAGACGGCTCCCAATTCCCCCACCCATTGGTGGTAGGGGTCAAAAGCGTTCATGTTAGTGTATGTCAGTAATATTTAATTCCAAAAATAGTTAACATATTTTGGTGCAGTAATTTAGCGCACTGCTCTGAATCTGGTGACCGGAGTTTGATTTTCCCGCCACATCCTAACAGTAACAAGTGATGTGTAAACCAGTCCTGGGTGCCCCTCCACTTTCCTCCCCTTCACCAATTAGCACTGATCAATGTGAAGTATGGTTCATTAACCTCTGCAACGATGGACAATGTGGGGGCAGGTTTTGAGTAGTCGACACAGGGTTGTAAATCCAATCAAATTACAGTGCTTACCATTTTCCATTTTCATTAGAGCCGTCGATGCATTTCACGGGTGCTTTTGAATGAAAGAGCTGGACCTAAATGCCTAATTGTTCTTGGTGTGTTTTTCTTTTTGTTTAATCCAGCATAGCGTGCAGTTGTTCCAGAACTACAGGCTACTACAGCAGAGACGAAACCACCTTGGCCAGCTGAATGTCACACCCATGGTATGCTTGATTCCCTTCATGTGCTTCACACATGTAAGAGCATTATGTGGCAGCTTGCACTGTTGGTGATCAAACATTCCATGACCACCAAAATAAATGAGGGCCATACAGCATTCGCACATTTTGTAAACTGTATCCTTATTTGTTTAATTCAAATTTAACATTTGAGTAGTTTGGCTAATACCGAATCTCAACATAGTTTGACCATACCTTTCACGTGGCTAATACCGAATCTCCACATAGTTTGATAATACCTTTCACGCTGCACTCTCTGTGTTTTTGGGGTGTACCGTGTGTTGTCCGACGTTTTGCTCCACGTGCTCCCAGCATGTGCTGCGAAATGTCGGACATCGGCACATGTACGCTAGAGCAACAAGTGGGAAAAACCTGAACACGGGAGCGCTATGCAAAGTAACCGCGACAACCTATGCAGTAGATTTGTTTTCATTTTTTATTCCCTGCTTGCTCACAAGAATACGGAGTAACATACTGTTTCTATTTGGCAGAGGAACATCTCCGAGAACACACTGGTGGCGATGGATTTCTCTGGGCGCAAAGGAAGAATCATTGAGAACCCAGCAGAGGCCCAGACGGTGGCAGTGGAAGAGGGCCAGGCCTGGCGGGTAAATGTGCAATGCAGTCATGTTTACTAATTTCTACTTGTGGTTTTCGTCAGCCTGCATTTATTTTTTTGTGCTTCTGGGGAGGGTGGTGGTAAATCCTATGTGCCTGTTGGCATCTCTGATGTGAGATTTCATGCGAGTAAGTTCTACAGTATTATATTGTGATAAAATGTCTAATCTGTTTTCGCAGAGGAGAGGTTGCCAGAGACTTGGTGTGGTGGGAAGCCCCAGCCCCTGCCAACCATCTGCTATGAGTATAGGTATGCTGAGACTAACAGAAAAGACTGATCCCCCCCTTATAGCCTTCACAGACTGTTGGGGCAAATGCTGTTAGCGAGCACCAATGAAGGCCGACAAGGCACACAAGGCTGTGGATGGCCAACATCATGCCCGGCCGCTTTTGTCTCCCTAGAGGTGATAATTACACACTGTAACAGGTATTAATTTGAAGCTGTGTCTACCTAGGGGAGGCCCAGGATGGGTTCAGATAAGTCACTGATGATGGCCATGAGTGGGAATCGAACCTGGGAATCTGGGTTCAAAGTGCACCATGCTAACGGCTACACCACTACTCCCCATTAAGAGCACACGTTGTTACACAAATACCACACTTTCAAAGAGATTTTACTGTGAGGTATGTGCATTATGTTCGAAATGGTATATTTTATTATTCACTGCAGAAATTTCAAACAGATGTGAGCTTGTTTTTTTATTTTCTTTTTGCAGCGATTCACAAGACTCAGCCATGGTTCCATGGACGGATCCCAAGAGAGGAAGCACACAGGATTATCTCACAGCAGGGCCTTGTTGATGGGTACAGAGATTCAGATTTCATTGTACATGCAACATTTATTTGTATCATTCGTCTTGCGCTCCTGAAGGGCATGAAAATAACTTTCACGTAGTGTGATCTAAACGAACGTTACAACAAAGCATCCTGTAACATGGTAAACAGATTACGCATAAAGATGAAACATTGTTATGAGCAGTTTCAGCTTAAATGATACAGAATATTCAATATTCAAATATTTGTTGATAGCACATTATCACTGCTTAATAAGTCAGTAATTTCAAATGTTATACAGCACATCGTATACCTTTTGTCTGCCACAAGAAGTAATTCAAGTTTTCTCCTTCTGATCATCACAGGTTATTTCTTCTTCGAGACAGTCAGAGCAACCCCAGGACATTTGTGCTCTCTCTCTGCCATCATCAGAAAATTAAACACTTTCAGATCTTACTGGTGCGTAACAGTTAACATTGTTACTGAAGGAAAAAAGCACTTTACACTTGAAGAATGTGATTATAACTTGCATTTAAAAAGAACATTGCATGTTATTACTTGTTTAAACTTGCTTTTAAATATACTTGGTGCTACTCTAATGTCAAAAATCTGGCAGCACTGCAATAAATTAAAAGCGATATAAAAAGAGGGGAGGGGCAATGGTGCAGTGGTTACCACATTGTCCTATAGACCTTGCTTCCTGAGTTCGATTTACTGGCCACGGCTAACATCAGTGGAGACTGACATCTAAATCGGTCCTGACCACCCCCTAACAACCCCCACCACTCACATCCCCCCCCCCCGCCCCAACGTTCACCAGCCCCTATCTACCAGTGTGGTGAAATTTGGCCAAATAACGTCTGCAACCGACATGGTGCGGGGGAGACCTTCATCCAGCAGCATATTGATTTAAATGATCGGTGTGTAAAATTGTATAGAAATAATACTTAAGAAAATGTATGCTTATCTCTCGCAATGTTCTTAATTTACGTCTGCGATTTCTTGTTTTTTCGATGCGAGTGCAGTTTGAAGAGGACTCAAAAATGTTCTTCTCTCTGGATGATGGAAACACCAAGTTCTCAGACCTCATCCAGCTGGTGGAATTCTATCAGCTCAACCGTGGAATTTTATCCTGCAAGCTCAAGCACCACTGCAGCCACGTGGTGCTGTGAGGGGCGGCAACGCATGGCTTGACATCCGCCTGCCCCGATTGCTTGCATGAAGTCATCTTCGGCATCGCTGCACTCACGTGTCCCTGCTTTAAACTCCATGTGTGTCGATTTGATTATTTAAGTGGAAGAATGTCTTTTTTTAAATATATAAACACTGAAAAGGAACGCAGACCGGAGATGAGGGATACATGTTGTGTTGCATGTACCTGTGGGTACAAAAAGAAGACAAAATGAAAATCCACAACTTGAATTCTAATGCAACACCTCCAATGCCCTAAATGGCCTTTAAAATAAAAAGAGAGCAGACGTAAAAAAAAATATTGAACAGTGCCGAACCGGGAGCGCCTTGTGAACTGAATGTGACTGATCAGAAGCTGTAAGGACTGCAAACCTCACCGTGTTCTATCCACAAAAAAGTGCAGACTCGATCTGCTATGCAGAACACATCTCTGGCTTTTTAAACGGCAATTCAAGCTTGAGTTGCCTCAAAGCTACACACCGAAGATGACCAGATGTGAAAGAAAAATGTAACAACGTGCACTTATTTCTCTTTATGCTGTGGATGAACAAAGACTGTTAATGGGACTCTTGAAAGCCTTTTGTACAGCCAGCTGTGTTATATTGAAGCATTTAATGATTTTATTGGTTTTATTTTCTGGTGAAGTTATACAATATTAACGTTAAGGTTATTATTCACAATGAATTGGATACAATATAATGTTTTGTATGTAGCTGTATAATGCTTTCTGCACAAACGGATACCCAGTGAAAGTAGTCGAGTGATCCACATGTCACGTACTTAAACATTTGAGTTAATAGTAAACTGTGTTAATGTTTTTTTTCCTTCACAAATTAACTCCTTAACCGTAACTTTCTGTGCGAGTTGGAATTTCCCAAGCATTTGCTCCAGTCCGTGCTGTATGATGTGTTGGCCTATGGATTGTATGACGGGATTGGTTGGGGAAGGACACTGGTTGTTATCCCTTGTGAAGTGTGCCTGTTCGTTTTCTGTGAAATGGGAAGATACATCTCCAAAGTTACTGGATGTGATCATCAAGCGGTGAATATGCAGTTTTCCTATGCAGGCCCCCCTTTTCCAGAGATTGCCATGGATTGTACAGTATTCACGTGCATTCATCAATTTGTCCCTCGACACATTGTGTGTGTTCTTCATCAACAAATTGATTAAAAATCATCGTTTCTCAACGATATGTCCTTGATAAAGAGCACCACACTTTGGAAGCGTTCTGCAGTTTATATCAATTGGTATTAACCTTACTGCTTAATAATATTAACTGCATCAGAATTTAATGTGTTAAGATGGTTCAGAAGCCTTTAGCTAAAATTTTCTCACATCAATTGGCCCAAGTGTAAAGTACATTTGTGTACATTTTTATTTGTATTTCACTTTTACAAAGCACAAGTAAAAAAAAAACAGCGTTAAAAAGAATGCTGTTAATGTTTCCTGTTGGCTGGCACTGCATGAGTGACCAACTGCTTAAAGCCTGTCTCATCTGTTTTATTATGCCTTTGGGAATTCAGTAATAACTGCCAGTACCTATAAAAAGGGAATGTTATACTTGAAATAAGATATTGCAAAACTTAAGATCTATGTGTCCTGATTGAAACTGCAAAAAGATTTAATTTAATATCTTGAACAGGAAATTTAATGGATGCCTGTTGTATCTTAAGTTTGCCTATATGTATTAGGATTTTTAATGGATAAGACTTTTTTTTCAAAGACAGATTTATTTGTACTGTGTAGTGTATTTATAAGTGGGTAATTTATAAAACAAAAGAAAATAAATCATAGGTGATTTGTCTATATAAGCTCTAAAGAATGCCTTAAATTTAGCATGTACACATAGATGCATTGTTTTTTTAAAGCAAATCTTAATGATGTGCATTTGCCTTGCTTGTTTGCAGCACTGTTAAAGAACCTAAGCACGTTACAAGATACTGGAATCTCTGTTCTCAGGACAACAATTAAATAAATGTATTCCATGACTATCCACAGTTATGCTAATGGAGTCCAAAAAGTACAAATTCTGAAAATGCATTTACAAAAGTAGTTATTAAAAAAGAAAATGGCAAGAACATAGAAAAGTATACATGTTCAAAATAATTTTGTCAAAATACAATGCCCAAAGAACTTTTGTAACCTTTAAATGTCAACCCCATATCTCAAAAACAATGGCAACAAACACCTCGATCAGATTTTAACATTAGTGGAACCAAATCTCAAACCATGAAAGTTGTTTAAAATGTAGGGCATGGATATTTTGCGAATGAATTGTTTTTGTAGAATTTTGTTATTGCTTTTTTGTAAATATTGAGCTGTAAATATATTCTGCAAGATTTAGGGGCCTTTTATGGTTTATTGTTGCACAAGCTGTTTATATATCGCATGTGATGGAGAAAAGAAAATAGATATTTTTTTCGTTTGGCTTTATGACGTTGTAATTTGTAAATACATAAGCTTATGAAAGCTGTATACTGTATACCTGTCAGGAATGTTTTGTATAAAATGAGGGAATTCATTTACTGTTCATATTGATCTTGGGAAATAAAAACCAGGTGTTTAGTTCAGCTGTCATCTGTTTCCTAGACTAATAGTGGAACAGAAACTACACTGCCGTCTTTCTCTTTTACTTCTGCCATCCTGACCCCCTTTCTACATAAGACATTCGTCTGAATTTGAGTCATTGGCTGAGACAAGTGATAAATCCTGTTAAATCGTGAGTCTGGAGTTGACTCAAGCCAAGGTTAGAGTTTATTCACGAAGGTGAGAAGGGTTCTGTTTTGTAACAGTAATACATGAGGAAAAAGATACATCTGTCAGAATTGTGTTTTTTCTGCAAGACGTGCTAGTCACTGCAAGTTTGCTTGATCAAGAGCTATTGTGATATCCACATGTGTATTATCCAACGGCCACGGTGTATTGCATGGGTCATGACACCCCTGCCCACCACCTACCCCATGAATGATACATCGGCACACCACAGGCAGAGGCTACAATATTTAGAAACAACCGTGGATATCACGCCTGATGATGCAACCTATAGTGCGAGTGACATCAGCCTGTGGTCACTGAATAATATTCTCATTTCATGTCCCTTTGCATGTTGCAGCACGAAAACTTACGAAGATAATACTGTTGTCGTTATCTGCGTGTGACCCGTGACATGTTCAACAGTGATGGCACATTCAGTTTGTTTAATGGGTATATTGACTTTTGCCCCCCCCCCCCTGTCCTTGCACCATCAATACCCATCGTGAAGTCTGGTGTATTGGCTCAAAGCCCTCGTGTCAACTCTTTGAGCCAAGATTTAATGAAGCAATAAGTGCTCAATGCTAAGCAACAGAGGATGGAAGGGAGAGGAAAGCTTGCAACTTTGTCTACTTGAAGTTGACCATTTTTGCCTGCACTATTGAGCTAATGTGAATCCCTGCAATGTTGAGGCCCGAATTTAGCATCGTTGTCTGCGGTCTTAATCTTGATATATATTTTTTAAAAAGTTAATTTAATCAACATTCAATTTGAGTTTTTGTTGATCCCTATGAAGCCCGTTAAAAATGTATTGACATGTTTATTAAGCAATGTTTTAATTGGTGCTGTGCCATGAGCCCTGAACCTACAGTCCAATTCCCCGCCATCGAGAATGAGTGGCATCCAAGCGGGCTCTGGATCTCCTCTTTTAACCAACCCACAGTCAAGTATGTTGAGGGAGAGTCAATCAAACCCCATGTGTGACATGATATGGCAGGCCTGCATCTAGCAGTGGATTGATGGGGGTGTACATTTTTTTAATGTATTCATATTTCATTTACAGCAACCATACACGTGCTCTAAGTATGATGGTTTAACGTAGAGGTAAATTATTTCGCGTGTATATTTAGCCATCTGAAGTGCATTGCTCAATATCACAGCTTTACAATCCTGAGACCGATTTGGTAAAATTAGAATCGTGCAGTCCTTAAATGTCTCATGCCCTTTTCCAAAATTTGGAGTGGAGTTCTTGCACGTCATATTTGCAAGAAGTTGGTGAACTTTTACAAAAAGAGTTTGTATCGTGTCCCTGTACAGCAGAAAATGTATGAAGTGTAAAATTATGCCACAGCAATGAGTCGGTCTGTTTTGACCATAGGATGTGGATGATGAATAGTGACCCGAACCATGGAGCAGTGGAAGTGACAGAGAACTTCATGGAGACATTGGCGGACGATTTTTTGTGCACTATTATATCTAAAGTGTTTAATTCCCCAGGTGATATAAAGAGTACGCACATAACAGTCACACGTGTACTGCGGCTACCTGTCGGATATTCTTGCTGCAGTCACGAAAGTTTTAAGTCAAAACTCTTTGGTTCTTTCGGTAAAGTCACGTAGGTATAAAATAAAATAAATCACGACGTTTCGGGCGCAACACAAGCGTCCATCATCAGGTGGGAAAGCATTGGTCTGCTGCTGAGGCAGATTTATTTTATTTTATACCGACGTGACTTTACCGAAAGAACCAACGAGTATGGATTCCTGCAGTCACGAAAGCTTCAAATCAAAATTTTGTCAAAATTTACCTGTCGGGTAACAACATTTTTTTGTTTTGGTCGTAGATCTCTCGAAACTCATGTTGGCGTACGGTGTGTGCTTGTGTTGTGCCAGTGGGGAGCACAGGTGGTGCATTTGGCAGTCATTTTAGTTAATCCACAACAGCCGGGTCTGTCCTGTGACCTCTTGCCAGCAAGCTTTTGACACTTTACATTGCCTCAAAGTGCACCTAGCCTGGTGCAAGCACTGTGGTGATGTCACCATCACTTAGTTGGCAGCTGTTGAGTGTCTCCAGTGGTTTGCGGTGGTGCAGTGACAACCCGAATTTTGATTCCTGACAATGACCAACATCAGCGTCGAGTGACATCTTGAACTAGTTCTGAACCTCCCCTCGGTCGAATGGCCCTGAAATGAACAGCTGGTGCAGGTGAGACAAAGGTTGCCAGGAATAATGTTCACTATATATTTCTAGATTTTAAGCTTTCGTGACTGCAAGGATTCATACTCTTAGTTTTTTCGGTAAAGTCACGTAGGTAAAAAAAATGAAATAAAATTATAAAATAAAATAATACAAATCACGACGTTTGAGCCTCACTTGATACAGCAAATCTGGCTGTGACGGTCCCACCTAATGACGGAGACTTGTTTTGCCTCCGAAACGTCGTGATTTTTATTATTTTATTTTCTTTTTTACCTACGTGACTTTACCGAAAAAACTAAGAGTATGTTCACTACATACTCATCGTGCTTGCTAATAGCACTTGCCCCAACAGCCTGTAAAATAGTATACAGGAGATCTTTGTCTTTGCGGTGTCTGCAGTTTTGTTTCTCGTGGGTGGGTGTAAAAAGGTGTGTAATGTAACCCAATATGCACGCATGTCTGCAGTCTATTATGTATAATACATTTACTCTTGAACACAGTGGGCCAATTATTTTCTTGTAAATTAAATAATAATTTTCGTATTTTACGTGTTAACACATGTTACAATACGTGTTTCCCAAATGAAAATAGGCATTGATAATGCAATTATGAATTCAAAGTACGATATTTCGATGACACATCTTGTAAATGCTGGGGATGAAATAGGAGTTCTGATTTACTTGTTGACAGTGCTGCAACATCATTGTTTTTTGTTTATCCCTGTTGCTGAGCACAGATCCAAAGGCTTAACCCGCAAAGCGACCAGAAACCAAACACCACTATTGAAAATATAAATGGTATAATTATGCGTGTTTAAAATTGAACAAGCTTATAAGAACTTTGGAAAACCCAACCTACTAACCTTTTTATTTTACAAGGTAAGACCCACTGAGCTATTTCGCTCTTTTTCAGAAGCTTATCACGTGGACATTTATAGCAGCCAAATACTCTAAACACGTGTTTCTAAATGTGGAGTGAAAAACCGGAGGACCCGGAGAAAAATCCACGTTACCACAGGGAGAACATGTAAATTCCAAATGTACAGGCTTTTTGGTCGGGATCGAACCCACGGACTATTGGAAAACCAGGCAAGGTAGTTCACATCTTGCCACCGTGAGACAATGGGAGGGAAATCTACAGTGAAGCAGTGTGAGGAAAGACGTAGAAAGAGAAAGGGGGTTTCACCTGCAGTGTGGTGATTTAACATAGGAGTGAGAGGATAAGAGTAGAACATGGGCAGAGGAATCGATGAGCGAAGTTCATGGTAACAGTAACCATGGTAGTAGTGAAAGAAGAGTGATAAGGAGGCGACTGACGGCTGGTGCACGAGTGACTTGGAGTGAATCCGAGAGTGCTGGATCCATCAATCAACTTGAATGCTCTACATGGAAATATCTCAAGAAATGTTGATATGAAAAAAATCCTTCATGGTATGGATGATTTTTTGTGTTTAGTTTGTTGTCCTTCCGATTACCACGGTTGGCTACAGAACGGTGTGAAAGAAGTTTAACATACATTCTAAAAGTGTAGAAATTACATGAAATGTAACCTCTGTTTCTGAGAGCTAAAAAATACTGTCAATTACGACTGAATAAAATGGATATTCACTGTCTACCGACGCTAGGCATAATGGTATTTAAAAATATAATTTTTTCATTTCTAGAATCTCATTTCTCCATTTTGTTATTCTAAAACCATGTTCATGTGGTGGGTTGGCTTTTAAAATCGTCCACGACAGTATTTGGTTTCCTATGATTTCACGAACAATCTATATACATGTGACCGAAGACTCATGGGTTTGTAATCATTGAGATGTTTTGTCGTTAAATATAAGGAGGGCATCAATCCACGACTGAGATACTGTTTCGTTGCTGTATAATCATTAAATAGGTCCACGGATGATGTTGCAACATCTGTCCCCGCTTTAATAGTGTCCACAGTTATTATATTTAGCCCAGGAGATTTCCCTGTTCTCAAGTAAGACTGTCTTCCTACTTAAACAGGCAATGGGGCAGCACTCATCTTTATCGGTAACCCTGAACCAGTTGTGTAAATTCCACGTTCCCATGGTGAGGGCCAGTTTATCAATAGGATGACCACTTGGCTTCTCACAGGTAAGGGCTCCTTTAATAATCATAAAAAACAACTTCGAGGGATATTGGGCAAAGTCGACCCTTGATTTTAATTTAAACTTGAAACCTTCCATAATAGAGGTTTTCGGGTTAGATCGGGTAAATATAAATGTGTCGTTAAAGCCATCACCACCGGACACAGCCAATTATAAAGGTTTGTTATGTAAACAAAGCATGCCAATTCGTTACGAGTACAGCACACCAGTGTGTTGGAGAGTAAACCCACAAAATGTACAATTCGAGTATGACGTTTCATCAGTAATTACAACTAGCATCATCAGGCGACAGCCAGTTATGGAGAAATCACCCTGTTCCGCTCTAACCACAGTGCCATCTAGCCAGATACAACACGACAAATATTTCGTGCTGTATTTGAAACAAAATCCGAAATGAAAAATATCTGTAGATGAGAAATGGAGCTTTCAAGTGCCAGTAAATAAAAAGCTCACGTGTAAGAATAGGCCAATTACCCTCTAGAGGGGCTCTCT